CTAAAGTCAAGAGTGCATGAGTCACTCAGTCATGGTTCAGCAGGCTGGTACAGAAGCATTTTGATCTGGAGACAAGGGCTCTAAGCTCCACCTGCATCTGAAGATGCATCAACAGGTCCGTTAGGCTGGGAAATTAATCCACAATACAAAACCCTAATTGCTAAGGAAAAGCATATCCGCTGATTATTGGGGCTCAGTGACCTCTCACGGGGTGCCTGGGCCCCTCAGCTTATACCCTCCTGCCCCAAGTGAGGCAGTTCTGTCCTCTCCCATTCCCTCTGGCAGGGCAGGAGAGCACAGCTGTGCAGCATGGAGCCCCAGCTTGGATGAGCTGAGCTCAGTGCCAGCTCCAGCCCCTTCCTCCTCCTCCCGCCCTTTTTGGGTTATTCTTAGCAAGAGGTGACCTCAGAATGCTCCCACTAAGCAAAAATAACCCTGGAGGAAGTTGGTGGGTATAAACCCTCAATGAATAAATGCATACAGTTAGTAAACAGGGTAAGGGATCCTACAAGGCAGGTCACAGCCCCCTGGCCCACCCTCAGCCTCCAGTTCTGGTGGGCAAAGGCAGACTCCCTCCCCTAAATCCTCCAGCCTTTGCAGAGCTGTCTGGGCATATGACCAGCAGGAACCAGTCTCAGACAGCCTCATTTGTCACCCTGCACCGTCCTCAGGACCTGGGGAACAGGAAGATGACCCTTTCTCCCCTCTGACACAGGCTCAGCCTCCCACACTGGTCCCCAGCTCTCCTCCACAGGCATTGGCCAGCCTGCTCTGGCCCAGGTTCCAGCTCCCTTCCGAAGTCCCGCCCAGCCCTGCAGCTGGCTTCCTGTTTCCTGTTGCTGGCCGCATCCTGGCTCTAGCCAGTGGTGCAGTGAAACCAGGCCATTGCCTGGTATTAAGCAGACCCACCCACACCTAGTCCTCAGACCACTGCAGCCTTCCCCACTTGGGCTCTCTACTGTTTGGGTCAATGGCCTCCCTCAGGTCTATTTCTTTGAATGTTTTTGGAATAGTCTATATAATTTTTCAAACAATCCTGTGTTCAAAGAGTCTTTGGATACCTGGTCAGCTAGACCATGTGGCTGCACAGTGAGGGGGAAAGAGTATCATGGGCTTCGAAGTTGAGAGGTGTTGAGATACAAGTGATGAATCCACTCTGAACCTTGGAGTTTCTTCCTCTGAAGGTGGAAATGGTCAGACTGAGGACCCATCTACCTGGCTCGTGTTCGTTTGCAACAGGCCTCTATGAGCAATAACATACTGCACAGATAACCTTTATTCAGGTCTCACTGAGGGTGGACAAATGCTATGTGGCTCCTGGAGTGCTTATGCAAAAAGGATGGTAACAAGAATCAAAACTAGTGAACAGGATGCCCCTTACATCTGCTTTGCAAACTGGGGTGCAAGGTCGGATTTTGATTTTGGATTTTAAAATTCTCTATCCAGACAGGTGCTAGTGGCTCACACCTGTAATTCTACTCAGAAAGCTGAGATCTGAGGATCAAGGTTTAAAGCCAGCCTGGATAGGAAAGTCTACAAGACTTTTACCTCTAGTTACCCAGTGAAAACCCAGAGAAGTGAAGGTGTGGCTCAAGTGGTAGAATGCCAGCCTTGAGTGAAAAAACTAAGAGACAGTGTCTACCCAGGCCCAGAGTTCAAGCCCTCATACTCACACAAATAAAACAGAATTCTCTATACAGTGAGATAAAAATCAAAACCATCAGGCATATATATGGATGTGGGAAAATATCAAATTGGTAAACAAACTCCTAAGACTGGAGGTAGAGTGCTCGCTGAGTATGAACTAAGCTCAAGGTCCCATTCCTAGCACCACAGAAATACATGAATTCTCAAGTTCTATGCAGACCAGTTACCACCACTGTTTTTAAAAGTAAGGTCTGTAGACCATTAATGCTTGTAGTCTAGGCTTGTAACTTGTCTTTGATTCTTCAGTAATTCAATTGTATTAATTCTACAAACAGATCAGGGAGAGGCCAAATGGGTAATCCTGGCTGAGCAGGTCTTTATTTTCAAGGTGCTTTGAAGTGTCATGGCTCTGGGGCAGGTAGAGGGCAGGGAAGGCTGCAGAGCAGCCTACAGCAGCAAGAGAGATGAACTTGGTGTGTTCAAGGGACGGTGAGAAGATGTAGTTTTATAACTACAGAGGTGGTATTGGGAGCTGGTGTGGAAGATAGAGATCAGATGGTAATGCCAGATAAAATATTCTGGATATTGTCTCCCAAGAAATGGAGTTCTTAGAGATTCATGGACAGAGATTTGTCAGGTAAAGTAATTACTGTGAGGGAGTGGCCTCTTCTCTGGCACACCAGACTGGAAGGTAAGTCTTTGAGCTTCTGCTGACCCTCATGTGAAGGAGAGGAAAAGAGATGGGAGATCTAGTGAGTACACAGGTCTGGGCCTCTGAGTGGTGAGTCTGGTTTTGGGGAGAGTGCAGCCACAGGCAACAGGGGAGCACCCATGGACAGATGCCTGCGGAAGTGGGGAAGAGCAGGAGGGAGCCAAAGATCTTGTAGCTTTGGAGCAGGGAGGAGCAGGTGATGTACCTTGGCCCTCCCTGTCCACTGTCAATGGAGCAGTTCACACAAAGGAAGTACGGCCTCCCGCCAGTGTCATTTCTCCTGGGCCTCTCCTGATTATAGCTGTCAGGATGGAGCCAAGCTCCCTGCCCTCTCCATCTTAGCTGGACAGTATTCAGCTGCTTTAATGCTCCCTGGTAATCTGTTCCCAGGGCCACAGCTGTAGCAAGTCCCAAGGGTGCCTTCCAGCAGGCTGCGCTCTTACAGGGGAGGGGTAGGGACCAGTGCTGGCCCTACAAGTGCCAGGCTGGGGCTATGAACTTCCCCTAGATGCAGCAGGAATGCCAGCAAGGGCGGTGCTGTCTTTCTCTGGGCCATCTCTCTGTCCTTGCAGCATGCAGGGTGTCCCTGCCACCATCTGGGTCAGGTAGCTTCCTCCCTGGTCCCCAGGGTGCTCCTAAGAGTCCAGGCAACGGCAGGCGTCACTGAGGACAAGACCTTAGATCACATCCAGGCTGCAACTTGCACAGAATGTAAGGTGTCTCCTATCAGAGCTACCAAAGGCTGATGCTGGGCCTCACCCCTAACACCTGTAACCCAGATTGTGACCTGGACCCCTACAATGGCCGGGGTTCATTCGCTAGCCAGCCCTGAAGGTAGGAAGCTAGTTGATATTAGTAGCCCTCTTTTACCAATGAAGAAATGGCATTGAGAAGTAACTGGCTCAAGGACACGTAGCTGGGAAATGGTCAAAACAGGCACTGTTTCCTCTCCCAAACTGTGTTTGCCATGCTTTCTTTCTTTTTTTTTTTTTTTTTGTCGGTTGTGAGGCCTGAACTCTGGGCTTGGGCACTTTCCCTCAGCTCTTCAGCTTAAGGCTAGCACTCTTCTACTTGAGCCACAGCCCATTTCCAGGTTTTTCTGCTTATGTGGTGCTGAGGAATCGAACCCAGGGCCTCATGCATGCAAGGCAAGCACTCTACCACTGAGCCACCTTCCCAGCCCTGCCACGCTTTCTTAAGAGGAAAGATTTAGCTGGGTGCAGGCCATCCCACTGTTTCATTACAGCATCCTTCTTGCCTCTAAAGATGCAGAAGAGAACTGAAGGTTCCGGCTGTGCCTGTCCCCAGCACGTGCAGGTGAGTTGTGGAGCTGAAATTCTCACCCAGATCTTCTGGAGTCCCAAAACATAACCCTCCTTGGTCCACTTCCACTGTGAAGCCCGCCTTCTCTCTTGCTGGCCGTCTGCTGGCCATTTCTCTTGTCTGCTGACTACAGACCTTCTCTCCCCACCCCCATCCCCATGCCGTGCCTTCCCTCTGACTGGAGAGACTTACAAATTGGAGTCAAAGGGTCACCAAGTCTTTATTTGCTACAGGTGGCGGCTCTGGTCCCCAACAACTAAATCAGGGGAAAGGGAGCTGGCTCTGCAGAGCCCAGGCAGCAGCCTCAGGAGGGCGGGGCGCACATGGAGTCATATGGGACCCCTCTCCTCTCTAGCTGGGCTCCCACACCCACTGCCTCCTGCCAGAACAGTCCCGCCACAAACCAGAAATTCTTTTGAAGTCCCACTTTGTCCTTTCGTTGTCTTGTGAATTTTTCATTCCAGGCCATAAAATATCTGTGCTCACTTTAATCTGAAAATGTTTCAAATTTCTTACCAGTGAAGTCGTCTAACTTTGGCTCCTTGCTTCGCATTTTCAAGCCCAATGGGCAGCTGTGCACTCCAGCCCCTCTGCAGCCCACCTCCCTACCTCTGCTGGGAAAGCCTGGGCTCCCTGCCCCGCTGAGAACATTTCCTTGAAGGACTGAATTACAAATCCCCAGTCCAGGCTCCCCCTCGCCTTCTAGCTCCAAGTTTACCATTCTCAGCTGGAAGGGGCTAAAAGAAAGGAACCAGCTGTTTCCAAGGTTCAGGAGCAAGGAGGCCTACAGCCTTGTCCCTGAGCTCACCCCAGATCGCTCAGCTGCACAGACCCCAGGAGTCCCCAGCTTGTGGGCTGGCCACCCCTGCAGGACTTCACCAGCATCTGGTTCGCTACAGGTCGGCCTGCATCTCTGCCCTTCTCTGTGAGCAGGTGCCCAGGTGGGGGCTGAGCCCAGAGCAGGTATGTGGTTCTGCAAAGGGTGGTCTGCTTGTGGGAGGAGGGGGAAGGAGGAAGCAGGAGGGGAGAGTATGCTTGCAGACTAGGGAGTCTGACGGGCTCTCTTGCTGTCTCCTCTAAAAGGAGACTGAGAGTCAGAGGCCTAGTTGAAATCTCAGCTCTAATACCCATCCACCAAGTCTCCTGGTCCTGAGGGCCTCCAGTTGTTAACGTGGAAAACTGAGGAATGTGCGTAATTTAAAGACAGAGGAGCTGGAGGGAGCTTGGAGCTGGTGTTGTCTCTAGGGTCCTGCAGTGCCACTGCTTTCAAGTGTCTGTCACATGGACTTGTGTGGTGAGTGAGAGACAGGACACTCACCGGTGGGTGTTTGCGCTTCCGGCCAGGTCTCCCCACCTTCCGTGCTGTGGCGCTGGGCTCCTGGCGTTCCTCCTTGCTGCGAGCTTCCTCCTGCTCTTCTTCCTGTGGGCACAGACACAGCCTTGAGCCAGAGCTGACCCATCAGGTACCTGCTCCCAGGCTAGCTGGGTTGGCCATGGCCTCCTCCTGGTCCACTTCCATGACAGCTTCACTTCCAGTGCTGTCCCCTCCCCCAGGATCATTGGCACTGTCTTCCTGGCTGGCACAGCTGGAGCCACCTCATTGAGCCCCATCTAAATACAACTTGGAGGGATTTGGGGAGACCCTGTTGTCCCAGCAGAAGGTGTCAAGCCCCCTAGTGACCATGTTTTTTCAACTGCAAGATCATAACACATGCTCTGATGAAGGATTTGTTTCTGAGTTAATTTACATAAAAACATTATACCCACATACATCCAATGAGGAAGCTATTTAATAATTTTGTTATTGAAAATAGTATCACATGAAAAGAAATGTTGGATTTAGTCATGCTTGCTTAAAACACATGCAATATTTGAAATGAAGACTATTTTACAAAATGTAGGACTCTCCTGTACAGCTGGAGCCTGGGCTGTGTGGCGCTTCCTACACCATGACCCCACAGGAGCATCTCAGGGACCACAGTTTGGTCCCTTTTGGACCCTCTCACTCACTGAGCTTTGGACCAGAACATGTGCAAGATCTGGCCCTCTGGGCTTGTCTCCTGGGACCCAGAGATATATACCTAGAAAGTCCTGCCTTACCACTCCAGTCTGGCCACAAACCACTCACAAGGCTCTTCTGACTCAGCAGGCTCCAGCATGACTAATTACTGGCAGAAACCTAGCTGGGAAAGGAGAGAGGGACCTTGAACCAACAGAAGGACAGTGGGCTGCTCCTCATGCCTTCTATGATGTCAGGAGCAGAACATGGCTTCAGGGCTCTCCCCAAGAGAGGAACCAACAGATGCTGGCACCATGGATGGAGAAGGGAGGGTGATCAGGTTTCCTGGAGATTCAGTTGAGATGGCCTTCTACATCCCACTCAACTTTCATTTTCTGTGATTTCAAAATAGCTTGTGGTTTGCCACATTAATTTGCAGGTGATGGTGGGACACATGAATGAAAACGAGTATGACCAATCGAAGACATCAAAGCAAGAAGGGCATCACCATCTACCCAAACATCCATCCATTTAAGGTGTGTCTGCAAGGAAGCTATGGCAACCCAAGCACTGGATGCCACGAAAGAGAGGTAAGACGAGGATTACAGAGGCGCCAGGTCTTTGTATGCAGTGGTAGTAGCGGTCACACTGGAGAGGGCAGTGCTAGCAAAGGAGAGCAGTCAGAAGCATGGAAGAGGTCACTGTGAGAAGTCTGGCATTGCGAGGGCAGAAGGAGAGAGCTGCTACCTAACAGTCCACAGTCATCTGAGGCAGTGATGTCCGGGTCAGAGATCTGGCCAGGGGTAATCATGGATGCCGTTGAGAACACTGCCATTGAGTAGTGCAAAGCAGCATGACAGGGAGGAAAGAGGGCTGGAGAAGGTCTGAAGAGGACCACTTAAGGAAGCCAGCCAAAAAGGATGTGAAAGCAAGACAGGGGGTGGGGGAACTCTGTGCCATCTGTGGAGGAGGCTGTCCCTGTGAGGAAGCACAGTGAGTACCAAAAGGCCTCAGGAAAAAGGCTCCTCAGACAAGTCAGAAGAGCACCATGGGGGCTAGAAGGCCCCGCTATAGGCCGAGCCAGGCTGCTGGCTTGAGCTCTCCAGAGATCCTGCAGACTTACCACAGAAAAGAAAGGGTCATTTGCATCACACGGAAGGGAAACATTACCAAGGCAGTTCAGCACGGGAAAGCTATGATGGGATCAGCAAAGACATACTGAATCTTGCTTTAGGCCAGATTCGATCACTGCTAACTAGGTACTGCAGGAACCAGGTATGCTCATGGAGTTATGTTATGGAGTTGTCCATTCTGCCAGCTTCTCAGATCTCTCAGGTGAACAAATGGTTTGTCCCCTCATCTGTTTTGTTTACAAATGAATCCCAGAGCTTTGGATAGATTCTGGAAGGATCTATCTGTTCCGAAATTCTGGGATTTGAATTATTTAACAAGCTTCACTTATTACAAAGAAATTTGTAATGAAGAATTTATTTGATTTCCTATCTTTTATTCTGAATTCACCAGACATGTGAAGGCTAATCAGGTCCTCTGGTCAGTAAAAAGAAACTACAAGTCACAGCCAGGTGCTGGTGGCTAGCTACTCAGGAGGCTGAGAATGAAGGATTATAATTCAAAGCCAGCTTGGGCAGGAAAGTCTATGAGATTCTTTTCTCCATTTAATCAGCAAAAACCTGGAAGTAAAGCTGTGGCTGGAATGGGAAAGCAGGAGCCTTGAGTGGCTCACACCTGTAATCCTAGCTACTCAGGAGGCTAAGATCTGAAGATCGAGCCTGGGCAGGAAAGTCTGTGAGACTCTTATCTCCAACAAACCACTAGAAACCAGAAATGGCACTGTGGCTCAAGTGGTAGAGCACTTGCCTTGAGCTGAAGAGAGCAGGAACAGCGCCCAAGCCCAGAGTTCAAGCCCCACAACCAAAAAAAAATAAATGAAGGGACAGTTCCTAGGCCTTAAGTTCAAGTCCCAGGACCAGCACAAACAACAACAAAACCCATACTCATCACAAGGCAATGACTTGAAAACAAAGACATTTGACAAGCCAGGCGCTGGTAGCTCACACCTGTAATCCTAGCTACTCAGATCTCTGAGGACCCTCAGAGATCTGAGGATCACAGTTCCTGCCAGCCCAGGCAGGAAAGTCTGTGAGACTCTTATCTCCAATAAACGACTAGAAAACCGGAAGTGGCACTATGGCTCAAGTGGTAGAGCATTCGCCTTGAGCTGAAGAGCGCAGGAGTAGTGCCCAAGCCCAGAGTTCAAGCTCCAGGACCCACAGAAAAAAAAAAAAAAAAAAAAGACACTGACATTTCAGGACAAACAAGGCCAGGCTGCCATAGGCTCACTGAAATGCCTCTGGGGTCTCTGACAGGCAGCTGGTCCACACTGGCAGGCCATTAGCTACTTCGCTGCACTGGCACACACTGTCCAGGCATGCTCTAGGCACTCATACACTTTCTTCCTCATAGGATTCAATTCTAGCTAACGGACCACCTGATGCCAGCTTCCAAGCATGTAGGGGCATCACACAGAGGGGCAGGGGCCAGGCCTGAGTCTTGCTTTCAGTGGAAGGCGAAGTATGCTTAGACCTCCCAGTCTCTATGAAAGACCAGATCAGATTCACGGTCTGGACCCTACCTTTTCCACATGTCCCAGAAGCAGGTTATCTTCTGCCAACATTCACTCTTCCAAGATGGAGCACAAGTGCAGGGCAAAGTGACTGGGGTGCTCTGCTGTGGACCAGCCTACAGTTCAGGCTGCAGACTAGGGGCTTATCGGCCCAGCAGAGTGAACAGATGGGCCAGGCTGTGCCCTCAGCCGCTCTAAGAGGCATGTCAAGTGTTTCATTCTTGCATCTGTCATGGGGCCTGTTTTACTCAGTATCTTTGCTGATGGGCTGAGGAGAGGAATGTAAAATATGCTGATCAAATTTGCAAGTAGCACTGAATTAGGAGGCATCCCTAATATTCTGAAATAGAAGAATCTGATCCAAGTAACCTGAGCAGCTGGAAAGCAATAACACATTTAGTGGGAACAGATTTGAGTCCAGGATGGTTTCCTCGTCTGTCAAGGAAGGGACTGAATTAATCAGCCCTTCAGAGGGGCAGAAATGATAGATAGGTGTTTGGCAAAGGGAAAGCTAGGTTAGGATTTTTGTTCTGATGTATACTTAATACTCACTTCAAGCTGTTACCTTTCTGTGTCTTGCTTTCCTCATCCATAAAATGGGGACAATAATACCTACTTTACAGCAATGGCATAAGAATGAGGTGAAGTAATAGGTTGAAAGCTGACATGTAACAGTCCTCGAGGATGGCTCACTTCCTCCTGGCTCCATATATCCTGACTAGAACATTTCACAGAAGCACGGCAAGCCCACCCTCCTGGGCCTTCTTGCCTTGCATAAATCCCAGCTTGCTTCTTACATGTGCAGCTATCACTCAAGGTGCAGACAGATCCCACCATCTGGCTGGAGCCACAGTGGTAAAATATGTGGGACCCTGGAGTTCCCTAATCTCTCCAAAATGCAAGACTGATTATGTCACTCTGCAGAGCTAAAACCCTTCCCTAAAGGGATTGTGGGGACCTGCAGGAGGATGCAGATCAGCTCCTTAACCCTGGTGCAAGACGCTCCCAGGGTCTGGCTGGATTGCCTGTGTCTCCTCTCAACACAGGGGGCCAGCACTGCAGCAGGTGTAAAAGCAGCTGCCTAGGCCACTGGCCCACCTTCCCATAGAGCTTTCAGCAAACTCCCTTTTCCAGCCTTAATTCCTAGGGTTCCTTTTACTCTTCTCCCATCCCCAGCCTAGACTGACCTGACAGACCCCTTCTGGAGCATCTACTACCCAGCATTCCAAATTTTAGCATTGTGCTGGTCAAGCCATGGGCTCCTAGAGGGAACTGGCAGACTTTTAGAGCCTCTCTATATAGCTTAGGCTGGTCTCAAAATGTAACCCTTCTATCTCTATCTCCCAAGTGCTGAAATTGCAGGTATATGTCATCACACACAGTCAACAGAGACTTCTTCACAATGGCATTCACAATGTCTAGGCTGAAAGGGCCAGCACAGCAACACATGGATAAGTGACTGCCGTGTCCCGAGTCCACAGCTGAGTCCATACACATAAATGGCACACACACACAAATCCACAAACTATAAACATTCAGGTTTCTGGGTCACTTGGATGTCTGTGTGTGTGTGTGCGCGCGTGCGTGCACGCACACTAGTACTAGGGCTTAAACACAAGAACCTCAGCATTTTCAACCATAGTTGGTGCTCTAACACTGGGCCACACCTCCAGTCCAGCTTTGTTTGTAGGCTAATTGGAGGTAGTTTCACAGACTTTTCTGCTCAGGTTGGATTTGAACTGATACTCTTGAGGTCTCAGTCTCCTGAGGATTACAG